CCCACCCGCCAATACTTGTTCATGACGAGACCCAACCCTCCAACAGACGGGACGCGGTCCATGGGAAGGTATGTGCGGACCCATCGTACCACCGTTCCCACAGACCTTGTTCGAACCTAACGCCTCGCCTGGAAACCCACAGACACAGTGTTCAAAAATTTCTACACAGACAACTCGCGTTCCCACTTCAACCATACGATGGGGCAAGGGTAGCTTATTTAAAATTTGTAATATACAGAAACCAGCCTAATGTTATACAATGTTTTCTCCACATGTTATATAGCTATCGACGAATGCAGCATCGGCAGCCACAATTGCCACCAAAATGCAACTTGCATAAATACCCCTGAACACTTTAATTGCAGTTGTCTACCAGGATTCACGGGAGATGGCCACCAGTGTTATGGTATGACTCACTTCTAGCGGAAAGTGCACTTAAACTTGAAGGAAAGGCAACCCGGCGCAGAATTCCGCACATGTCACGGGAAAAGAATGTCCGAGTTTTCCTAAAGTTTCAATGATCTGAATATAAATGAAAGAAAGGCAACCCGGCGAAAAATTCACGCAGTGTCACAATTAATACACCTTTTATTTTACTTCTTACTAATGGATGGAAAATCGCGTTTTTTTAAACACTTCATTGTTTTTTTTTCTGTCTCCTAGTAATAGCAGATAAGCTTTCCAACGGTATGCAACCTGTGTAAATATTGTCAGACACTTTTATTTTTCCTCTCAGCTATAGTTTTCCGAAAAAAACGTCCACTTAATTTCGTAAACTGTATCTCTCTTATTGAGGAAATTTAGTTTAAGTGAACTTCTTCTGCCAATTGTTCTTTTTTACTAACCCTATTGCGGCAACGGTAGCCATGATTGCCACCAAAATGCAACTTGTACAAATACCGCTGGACACTTTAATTGCAGCTGTCAGTCAGGATTTGCAGGAAATGGCCGCCAATGTCATGGTATAATATTGCCCGATTTTCAAGTGATCTAAAAGTTTATGTCGATCTTGAATTAAGTCTTAGAATACATTTTTTAACCCTTTTTTTAATTAGATATCGATGAATGCAGCAACGGTAGCCATGATTGCCACCAAAATGCAACTTGTGCAAATACCGCTGGACACTTTAATTGCAGCTGTCACTCAGGATTTGCAGGAAATGGCCGCCAATGTCATGGTATAATATTGCCCGATTTTCAATTGATCTGAAAGTTTATGTCGATCTTGAATTATGTCTTAGAATACATTTTTTAACCCTTTTTTTAATTAGATATCGATGAATGCAGCAACGGTAGTCATGATTGCCACCAAAATGCGACTTGTGCAAATACCGCTGGACACTTTAATTGCAGCTGTCAGTCAGGATTTGCAGGAAATGGCCGCCGATGTCATGGTATAATATTGCCCGATTCTCAATTGATCTGAAAGTTTATGTCGATCTTGAATTATGTCTTAGAATACATTTTTTAACCCTTCTTTTTAATTAGATATCGATGAATGCAGCAACGGTAGCCATGATTGCCACCAAAATGCAACTTGTGCAAATACCGCTGGACGCTTTAATTGCAGTTGTCACTCAGGATTTGCAGGAAATGGGCGTCAATGTCATGGTATAATATTCCCCGATTTTTAATTGATCTGAAAGTTTATGTCGATCTTGAATTATGTTTTACATTTTTTTACCCTTCTCTTTAATTAGATATCGATGAATGCAGCAACGGTAGCCATGATTGCCACCAAAATGCAACTTGCATAAATACCGCTGGACACTTTAATTGCAGCTGTCAGCCAGGATTCACGGGAGATGGTCACCAGTGTTATGGTATGACTCACTTCTAGAAGGAGGTGCACTTAAATTTGGAATCGGTAATAAATCGTAAAACCGGCGGCCAGCGCGATGAATGCAAACAAAGCCAATGAGCCACAATCGCCATAAACATATGTCTTGTATTTATACTCAGCTGGAAAGAAATTCGTATAAGGCCACAAGTTACACTGTCATGATAACAATAATATTTTACTTTTTTATATTGGATCGGGAATCTAATTCTTTAGTCTTTGTGATTTTTTGTCCCATCCCAAATAAATGTCTCGTAGCAATAGCAGCCTTGCTTGCCACCAGCAAGGAATTTGTGTTAATATTGCTAGGCACCTGTCTCCCGAAAAGGCCGTCAGTGACGTTTCGTAATTTGCTTCTTCCTTAGTTAGAAAATAACTTTACTTGAACTTCGAGCAATTGCTTTTGCTTTATGGTCTGAATATATACGACAGAGTGGATCGATGTTCGATGTTCAAGGCTCCAAAGTCATCACCATGACTTCTAGTTTGGCTCAAAATATGGCGTAATTCATGCAAAATTATTGCCGATTGAAGGAACAATCAATCATTCGAGTGGTCAAGTAGCTCACACTTGCATTGAATCTGATTGAATACAGGGAAGTTCGATGTATAGCAAATCGGCCATACAATAAAACAAAAACAAAAACAAACATTTCTTGTACCTCAAAGAGCGCTTGAAAATTCATATTTTGGGTCGTCGAGTCTGTGATCTGAGACCATCTAGAAGCTAACAGTGAAACTCCAAACTGCCGCGCGGCCATATTTGTTTTTCTTATCCACCAATGATTGTCGGTATATAAGCTAGCTCCAGGTCTCCTCGTTTCAAAGAAGAAGCCTTGAATATATTTATTTTCCCGCGCGAAAATTGCACAATTAAAACACAATAATCATCAAATGTTGAAACACTAGACTGAAACTGAGGGTTTAACTTTTCCCCAAGTCTACTTCTCTCCTTCCCCAATGTTGAGATTCGGGTATGTTTATAAATGGGTGCATGAATCAACATTGGGGAGGGCGTAACGAGTCGTAACGTGACAAGTGTTTCAACAAATGTGACGAGTATTGAACATCATGCAGTCAGCAATGAACAGTTTCTCTTTCAAGTGCAAGAAATATCTCTTTTATTCAATAGATAGTATGCGTACATCAAGTACATCATTCCTCTCTGAAATTAATGCGAGCATGATGCATGGATTACGAACGATTTTTATAACGCGAATAGGACTCTGATTTTCTACATTCGTCCAAACGTCAAAATGCCACTTGGCCTTAAAGCCGCCAAGGGTTTTGAACGAAGGTCGGCAGTTCTTAAGCTCTTCGAGACTTAGGGAACTTGTCTCCTCCATTTCCTTGAAATTAGCATGTTGGGTAGTGAAGTCTAATTATCAGAGTTTATTTAATACAGGATTGTAACTGAACAATAGAAATGACCATTTCAGCCACTTTTTGGTTGTCCCTCCGAAAAAAAGAAAGAAAAAAAAAACACCGTAAATTTACAAAGGTTAGAAATGAGCATTAAGAGAGTCGCCTGAAAGAAGCATGACGTCAGGATTTTCAGAATTTGTAAAGTACGGGATTCGTTGGGATCTTTCTGGACTGCGAGCAGTCTCTCTTCTGCTCGAAAATCTGTAAGAGCGCGTGCGCAATTGCACACTCGTATTATCGCGCCCGTTCTCACAGATTTTCGAGCAAAAGAGACTGCTAGCGATTTTTAAAGATCTTTCAAGAGAGCAATATAAAAAGCGTGTCGTTTTGCTAAAAATCAGTCCTTTCGTGCAAATAATTATGTTCTAAGGCAAATTTATAAGAATATGTTTATTTGGTCAAATATATTTAAATTCACGAAGAAAAGTATCCGCGCTTTGTAGTCGTCAAATTCAATTTTGGAAGGAAGGACCAACGTTACAAAAAAGAAGGACCAGATTCAGCTATAAGTTGAAATATTAACAAAAGAAGCATAGCTGATTTTGCAGTAAGGAAATATATTGTTTTGTTACCAATATTTCAAAAGACACGGCCCTCCTTCTCCAGGGTCTTCTCATACAAACACAATTATAAGTTTAAGCTAAGACGTTACAATTTGAAATAAAGGATAGCGTGCAATATGATACTATGATAAACACGTAAAAATTTAAATAAAAAAAGTGAACGTTGAAAGTATACGAAAACAAGAACCGTTGAAGTTTGAAATGTAAAAATAGTGAAAAATTTTAACTATTTTACATTTCAAACTTAATAGTAATAGTAAATTCGAAATGTAAAAAATAGTATTAAGAAAATAAATACAAGTGGAAGAAATAAGGAATTTATTACATTTCATCTTTCTTATTAATACTTAAGGATTCAAGAGTTTTGCCTCTCTCGGTGAGGCATGCTTTGCTAGCTTTTCGCTCACTTCAAGCTTGTCCAGCAAATCGTATTACATACGGTTTAGTACCAGAACAAATTGTAACAGAAAAAATACAACTGAGATTTTTAAACGGTGGCAGGTCTCGCCAATTAAACCGCATTTCAACATTTTCTGTCGGAATACTGGATCCCTGATCCCCTCGAAACACTATTGATCCCAATCCCGCGGCTTGTGACCTGAAGATCCCAGGCCTGTGTTCCCTGATCCCGCCCAATTTTTGGCCTTTGATCCCTGAACTCATATAGCTTGTTACGTTACACTCAGGGACGCTTTCTTCGTGAATTTAGATATGTTTGACCGAACACTTTCTCTTTGCCTCAGATCATGAAACGTTATAGTAGAAGGATTTGTATGGGTGATTTTGTAAGGGCGTAATAATCATTGTAATAATACTAATATATCTCATCTTATTTGCACGAACAGACCGATTTTTAGAAAGTTCTTAGACACCAGTTCCTCCTCCAGAGCCTACCGAAATTATCTGGGCTATAATATTTTAAGTGATTTCAAATTGCCCGATCTTGCAAATAATGTTAGAAAATTAGACCGCAACAGTACCATTTTGCACCCTTCTATGCATCCAGATACATAGTTTCACGCAATTTATTTGAAAATACAACTTAACTTCCATACGATCCAACTTTTCTCTCCTTATATCATTTTGTCTGTGTGTGTGTACCCATTACGAGTAAATAACACCGACAAAACAGTGCCCGCTTCATTGCAACAAGACGACAAAGGCCGCCAATTTCGACTTCAAATGATCATTTTACTCGAAGGGACTATGGGCCATTCTTAAGACCAACACCTTTTTGACCGAGAGGGGTTAATGTCGCAAACAAAATGTTTTAACTGGACAAATGAAAAATAAAATGTTTTTGTTTCTTCTCGTCAGGCGGCCAGTGATAATTGCAGGCACCTATGATGTCGCAATAGTGTGCAAAGTAGACATTGCCCAGTGCAAGACAAGGGTACGGATGGTTCGTCCGTGAAGTAGGGCTTTTCTTCACATCTCTGCCTAAGAATTAACAAATAGTTTTCGCCACTCTGAGAATAAATCGCCTTTATTATTATTATAATTATTATTATTATCATTATTATTTTTGTTATTATTATTATTATTATTATTATTATTATTATTATTATTATTATTATTTCTGCTGAATAACGTTCATTGCATTCGATCGCGGATTACGATAATACATTCATAGACATAAAAGTCCTTGATATTCTACAACAGGACACTCTTAATAATAATCAGTAATAAGCCGAGAGTGGAAACGATTTCTCTTGGTTTCTTGGTTTAGACAGACAATTCCAGGATTTTTACAAGTCCGTTGTCATTTGAGTCACCTCCACTCATCCCTGAACAATTCGAGCCACTACAGTAAGAGCCCCCTCCCCCGCCTGCTTGGTTTGGTTGTGTGCCACTACCTCCCCCAGAGTATCCACCACCTCCTCCTGATGCACCATTATCCTCGGCTCCCCCTCCGCCACCGCCACCGCCTAACCCTCCTACGGCCCCAGGGGGAGGCCCTCCGTTGTAGCCACTATTCATTCTTCCAGCACGTCCACCTAACCTACCCAGCCCTGAGCACGTGAGCCGCCTCTTTCACCGTGTCAGGACCCGGCCCTGGAACAACCTTGATCTAACCATCCGGCACCCACTCCCCCATGGTAACTAGCGCCTGCAGTGTTACACTGACCAGGATTCCCTCCAGTTCCTCCGCTACGAACATAACCTGGAACGCTTCCAACGCTACTGGTGCCGCTAGTACCAGCCTGACCATCCACCCCGTTATACCCGCTAGATGCACCCCCTCCTCCTCCGGCAGCTAACAAAAGCACGTTACTTGTTGTGTAAACAAAGCTCCCTCCGCCTCCCCCAGTTCCAGCATTGTCCTCTACGGACAGTCCCAGCTGAGCTGCTGTCAAGGTAGTGGACTGTCCTCCTTCTACCTCCACTGAATCTCCTCCTCTTTGTCCCACCACAATATTCAGTACAGTTCCTTTATTCAAGGTAAACGTGCCCTCTTTGTATGCACCTTTTCCACCGTAGTAAGTTCCGCGATAATCACCATAGTTTGTGGAGTGCGTTCCTCCCCGAGCTCCCCAGGCTCTGATTCGATAGCGAGTGGTTTTTGGCACTGTGAAAGTCTGAATGCTGCCGGAACGACCTTGTCCATTCGTTGTAAACGACCGAGGAGCTGATAATGACAATGTATTGAATTTAATATCATACATGAAAACATTTATTGAATCTGATTGACTAAGAGCAGTGCATTTTTTAGTAACCTGAAAACACAGAGCGAAAACGAGGAAACATAATGCATAAAGAAGGAAATATAATGCACATTTCTTGGAGAATGGAAAACTGAGATGGCTAATAAAAAATAGAAATATATAAGAAACAATCAGGTGCCTCAATCTACTGGTATCCAAAGCTTCCAAACAAAGCCAGGGAAGTAATTTTGTTTTCATGTGTGTTACTAAAAAGTAATCATACGACTTTTCTCATTCAATTTAGAATTTATTTGCACTCGTGTGTTTTTCAAAATGCTCAAATTGCATTCGTCCTACGGGCTCATGCACTGAGTTTTGATACTTTTTGAAAAACACATTCATGCAAATAAATTCCAAATTGAACTCGAAGTCCTGTGATTACCTATACTAATATTTGCGGTCTAAATTGTATTTAAAATAATTAAAAAGTAATATCAAAACCCATCAGATGATAATCAGTTAGGGTGATAATCAGAACTGAAGTGAGGGCTTCATTGTGGCAGACGAAACTTAATGGCCGGTGGCTGTTTGCCAGGGGCGGATCCAGGATTTTTTTTAGGAGGGGGTGCACTCGTCCCTTGCTGTAATTCAACACCAATAAACCACATAGTTTATTTTTTTTGCAGAATACCAGTTGTATTAGAAAACAGCAGGTCATGTCAGGGGGGGTGCGCACCCCCTGCACCCTCCCCCTAGATCCGCCCCTGTTTGCGATCCTAGAAAGTACAATTACACAGGCTGACCACGAGTTAGTTAACAGCGGTGAGGCTTAACCTTAATTATCACCTAAGCGTAAATGCAAGCGTAATCAGGGAACGTAGTCTCCAAGTAATATTGGAATTCAGGTCTTCTAAATTGACTGGAAATGCATCCAAGAATGGCTCGGCTGCTATATTTACTAGGCGGAGAGGTGCATCGTTTCCAAAATATTTGCGTTGAAGGACTTAACTGCGGGCTTTACTTATTTATTTATTTTTTGCTTTCTGCGACCGAGGGGGCCTTCGGAGGCCTCCCTCCATAACTTCAATCCGTTCATGATAGGCAACTAAAAATTACACAGAATAATGTACCAGGAGCCTGTGGTAATGTACTCACCATTTCTAACATCGAGGCATAATTTGATTGACACGGTGACGTAATCTGACGTCATTATGACGCCATATTGTTAAGTTTTTTTTGCAGAGGTCAAATTCCACCATTTTTTCCCCTCAAAGCGAAAAATACTTAAATTGAAAGGTGTCTAAGAAAAAAAAGTTGGCTGCACAATTTTTATTCCGCTTTCAGTGAAATCACGATGACGTCATTTATTACAAACAAAGATCTGGAACCATCGGCCATCTTGGGTCCGCTATTTATTAATCAATTAATTAGATGAATACCCATAAATTTTTTGTTTGTAACCACGTGACAAGGAATTTTTCTCGAGGAATTTGCATGAGAAGGGTGATTAGTTCCCAGAGGAGAAAAATGTTTTTGTTGTCGACCACTTACATGGCAGCCTTGACGTCACGTGCAGACCAGCAATAAGAGAATTATACGGTAAAAAATTCTCCGTTGCACCTGGTTACAGGTAGATTTGTGTTTATTTTGGGTCTAAATACGCTACTGAATCAGTCGATACAAATAGCTTATTGCTGTTCAATTTAATAATATCACGCAGACATAGATGAGTGTTCAACTGGAAGTCATGATTGCGACAGTGATGAGAGAGCAACCTGTACAAATACTGTTGGTTCATATTTGTGTTCATGCAGAGACGGTTATGAAGGAGATGGAAGGAATTGCAGTGTTCCCTCACCAGGTAAACAAGGCCGAGAAATGCAGAATTAAAGGGGCTGTGTCATGCTATTTGCTGACCTTTTAACAATGTTAAAAGGTGTCTTCGCATCAATTGATTTCCAAAAATAATTGCCCTGGTTTGCTATTTAAGAGTATATTTAGGCACTGAAACTGTTCCTCGTCGTCTGTTTTTATGGATGGCAAGGATGGACCTGGATTAAACATTGAAAAAAATGAGCCAACTTGTAAGGTGCAAATCCACTCATAAACTGGCGTTAACACTTTCAAGATTTGGACAAAACAAACCAGTCCGTACAAACAAGGATATATATACGTTGTCAAGCGTTAAAACGTCGTTACTTCGTGTGAATCGCTCCAATATGATATATCGAGTGACTTCGTTCAACAAGAAAACTTATCACGTGATCTTAAAGGGCGGGAAAGGAGAAAACAGGGAACCCAGCCGCAACACAACTATTTCAAGTTTTAAATGCTATGCTTGTACAAATCACCATAAAATTACTATGGTCAGTTTTCCCTGATAAAATTTGTTTGTCAATGATATCTTCTTCACTAAATAACTACCCCACAGGAGCATCAGGAGCATTTTGTGTAAGGTACTAAGTGATGAACTTTAGCACAGAATTGACCTAAAACAGCAAAATCCTCGAGACTTATTAGTAAACAAGCTGCCTATGAGAATCATGTGTGCAAATACAGATATATTAATCTTATCTTACTTGGTCCCCACTGCCTTAATTCAAAATGCCCTCTATACTAGCACTAATATAGATGTTACTAACAATTCAGATAAGGAAACTAGTTTGGAAACTAAACATGTTTCCACGCTAATTGGTAGAAAAAGTGAAATCTAAACATTTTGCTGATTATTAGTGCGAAAACTTGGTTACGAAAAACTGCAGTGTTTAATTTACTCAATATATGGCTTAACCTTGTCATCAGTCCTGAGGTCCGACCTGTTTCCTGACCTGACAGAACTTTCGAGATGGCGAACAGGAAGATCGCCATGTGAAATTTTATTCAAAGTCCATGCAGTTGAATTAGAATTGATAGTATTAATATTTTTTTCGATATTTCTACCACGTTACTGAAATTATGGCTCTTTGATTATAACCTAGAATGTCAAACCTACCAGACATTAACCTCATCTAAGAGGAAAGCGACATGGTCCAGTAGCTCTGTGGAATGTGACAGTTCAAAATCTGGTTGGTACCGTTTTACTGAAGGAGCGGGAAGGAAAATGCCAACAACGTGTGTTCCCATGAATAGATGCAACACGCATGCCACTGGTTGGTTAAATGGAAATCACCCCACTGTGGCAGACGGACAAGTCACCAGGCAAGTCTGCTTTCACTGGAGCTCAAACTGCTGTTATTGGTCCACCAACATTCAAGTACGGAACTGTGGGGAGTACTTCGTTTACTTGCTGAGTGGAACACCAGGATGCTCTCTGCGATACTGTGGCACTGACTAGATTCCCAGAAGAAGACATTTTCGATACTGCGGCACTGACACTAGATCCCCATGAGAAGTCACTATAAATCGCTGCACTGACTAGTATAGATTTCCAAAAGAAGTCAGTACATTAAGGGTAGTTACAATGAACAAGCTAAAAAAGTTTCAGTAGGATCTGAGAGTTGCCCTTTTAGCCGAAAGGAACCCATGGAGTGACTCTTTCACAGTGCAAAATTTTTCTTATCAGTCAGGACGAGAAAATGAACTATTCTTTCATAATTTCTCGTTAATAAACCAACTGCCTTCCCTTGGGAATCTTCTGAATCTTTGCAACTAGCAACGAGAAGTTTTCTTTGAATTTGTACTGAACAAAGCTCTCTTTGCTCTTATGGGCTTCTCTCTACAATAGGTTCATACATGCCAAATGGTTGATCAACAATGTTAAAGTCACCATACCCGTATCATCCTATATGCATTGGCCAAGTCTTTACGCCCATATGTCAACATTGACACACACAGTTTGGGTTCAAGAAATAACTCAAAGTCCGCGTGTTATTGGGGACATGCATCTGCGGGCCTGACCTACTAGGAAGCTCTCTGGTCCCCTAAAGGGTAAATCCTCATAAGCTAGGTGTTGACATATGGGCGTAAACACGGTAAAGACGTACGCGTGGAGATCAAGATCATGAAAATGATGTTGAGTTGTGGCCGCAAAGTTGTCGTAGTAAGGCGGTCTTAATGGTGCTAACTGCCAAGTTTACAAACCCGTAAACACCTAAATTATTTCAGGAATATGGATATAGCATGGTACCTCAAAAACCGTGAGTCTCGAAAAATTTAGCCCGATCTCGAGGGCTAAAATTAAGGTTAGATCAGGACACGCAAGCTAGTCACAGAACCACAAACTATGTCTTTGCCTGGGGTTTAGTTTTCTTGGGCCTTATTGGCTTTTTTATGCCTGAAACATACAACAACGTTACAGGAACATATCGTATTAGTTTCATAGTAACTGTTAGCAGTTAAAGAGCCAAAAGGTTTAGACGTTATGCGTAAAGCATGACAATTTATTAATCGTTAGAAGCATCGTTAAAATCTTAAAAGAGTAACGCATATAAAATTACCATTAGCCATAGAGAACTGAGCAAAATTCTATTCTCTTTCACTACGCTCAGCCGAATAGAGAATATTTCTGTTATTATTATAAAGAGACAAAACAACCTAATGATAAATGGAGGGAGCCGCCAGCAATCGAGTTTTTATACTAGTAAGAGTTACAGCGAAAGCACGTCGAAAATATAAGGGATATAATGCGAAAAACACATACGGAGCACTAAGAATAGCTAGATTTAAGACACACCATAAGCGTTAACAAGATCATAATGCTGAGCAAAAAATTAAAAAAGTAAACGGAGTCAGATCATTTTAAAAAAGCGATGCAAACGTACAAGTACAAATAAAACGCAGGTATACCTATAGGAAAACGTAAAAAGCATCCACTAGTAAACTGGTCGGCGTCAAAGTGGTGTGAAATTTTACAAGGAGCGGCTTACAAAGGGTGTAATGATCCCAAACTGAATTTATCAATGTAATCAAGAACTAAAATAATTTAGCATCATGTTATTCACTGACTAGAAATGTCTTCACCCCATTGAAACTCTTAAATCCTTAAATAAATTATCGTTTTTTCACTGATGCCTATATCTTCTTTTGTCCAATGATGGTTGACAAAGCTAGATGGTAAATGAAACTGTAAAGAAAGGTCTTTAGCTAGCCTTTTGATTCATGGTGGTCGGTGAGATAACCGGTCCAATAAAATTAATGGAATATATACGCAGACTAGGAATTAAATTTTTGCAGTGCTCCAACAATGGAATACGTAGTAATAGGTTCAAACAAAAAGATTCCACTGTAATACTGTAATCCCCCGGGTGTAATCAATTTACAATGCAAATTTCATTTCCAACTCCAAATTTCAATTTTGAACTGATAAAAAGCTCAGAAGTTAAAATGGCATTTTTTTTTTTTTTTTAAATCCAACCCCTTGAGAGAATATTCCCAGGGCCATCGGGTCTTTCCCTTGCGTATGGCGATTAAAGACCTCTTTTTTTAAGTTCGAAAGACAGGTAAAATAAACAGCAAAATGGCACGGATCTGAGTTATGCTGAAAGCACGTTGTACTGTCACACATGATTACCCCCGCTTCTTAAAGCACCATTCTTTTACCAAATTGCTGTCAGAGAACAAACAACTTGAAAGGCGCAATGGAACAAGGTGTAGTAATTATCAGCGAAAAACACCGGCGAATGCTCATTTCTTTGAGTATGGTCATATGCCTGTTAGCTGTCATCGTTTTGGTTATAGCTGTCGTTATGTTCTCATTGATAATCTCTCGAAAGGACCATGCTGCAAAAGTATCAAAACCTGAAGCCGCGGGGCAAGGTAAGCGCACGTTAGTAACTTTTTGATCCAAACTGCCTACAACCGGCGATTACTGCATAGCTCCAAAACGCATTTCCCTCAGTCTGGTAGGTTAAGCTGAAAAGATGACACTTTTTCTTAGTCAACAACTCTTTTAAGTAGCGGTTATACGTAGCAAAGTCCTGCATGAGCAAACACAAGCGAAAAAGTACAACATGGTCATATGTTAATTTGTCTTTACGTTCACTTGCTGCCTTTAGAAAAGGAGCTTTTTTCTTTTTCTTCTTATTTTGGATTTCCTTTCAGATATAAACGAGTGTACCACCAACGCCCATAACTGTGATGCCAATGCTTTCTGCAATAACACTGAGGGGTCTTATAACTGCACGTGCAGCCCGGGTTACACTGGAAATGGAACATTATGCACTGGTAATTATTAAGCAGTGAACCGACTGCAACATAAAAAATATTTAAAACGTCAATTCCGTGCTAGCCTCGATAAAAATTGATCAAAGAATTAAGTTGTGATTGACTTTAACTTGCGTTTTGCCTTCCCCATATTTTACAAGCGTTCATTTCAAGACAAATTAATAAATCACAAAAAAATTCTTTGTTTGCAGCCACGTGACAAGAAGGCCATGTTGGGGGTCAATGCAATAGAATTTTTTTTCGAAGATTTCACATGAAAATTAGAGTTTAGATCCAAGAGGAGAGAAATGCTTTTGTTATTGACCACCAACATGGCCGCCGTGACGTCACGTGCAAACTTATTCTATGAAGCGCCACACCTCGAATAATAAGCACTCATGCATCCTGTAGGTAAGAAATGTTACTTTAATTGCGCAGCCTTAAACAGGAATATAAAGTTGAACGGTACCTCTCCACAACGGCCATTTTGGGGACAGAGGAAAGTGGGGGCCGTTACAGAGCGCTGGCCGTTGTAGAGAGGTTTAAACAAGAGTCAATGTATGGACTGCCCGCCAACAGGGTGGCAGCTGTAGAGAGGTGGCCGTTGTGGATACGCGTCTGTTAGTAGAGGTTCAGTTCGACTGTAATATAGCCCCTCGAATATTACCTTACTCGCGAAAATAGACCATTTTACAGTTGTGGACTTAGTACCCTAGCCTTCGAGTGAATGTGAGGCTGACGGTGACCTTGTTTTGATACAAACCTCCTTTGCTTTGTTATGGAAATTGTCCCTGAAAAATACTAGTTAGCATAAGAATAACTTGATTTACATAATAAAGCAGGAAGGTTTGTACCAAAACAAGGTCACCGTCAGCCTCGCTTCCATCCATAACTGTAAAATGGCCTATTAGAGCTTTTTTTCTCCCTCCAGATATTAATGAGTGTATGACGAACGACTATAACTGTGATGTCAATGCTTTCTGTAATAACACTGAGGGATCTTATAACTGCACATGCAGCCCTGGATACACTGGACTTGGAACAACATGTACCGGTAAATCGAGGAACAATACATAGTATCATACCCAATGTAAGGGAATCCAAGACAGTCTTGCCGGATTCCACGATGTGGATTCAGAACTCCATGTACTGGATTCCGGATCAGTTCTCTGATTCAAATAGCCTACGTAACAGGCAGGATTGTTATTTAGCGCGAACAAAGAAATCGCATCTCGAGGCAAAGACGCGAGAATGGTAGATTCGCGGTCAAACCTCTCACATGCCCAAAAACAATTCCGCTAGCTAAGGCTATGATTCTTATCGTTAGTGGGATTCCAGAGTCCTTAAGCCGTATTCCGGCTTGTAAAGGCTAGGATTCCGGATTCTACTAGCAAAAAAATTTCCGCATTCCGGATTCGGATCCGGATTCCCTTTCATGGCGTCGAGAAACAAACACCCCATACATAGAGTGTACTGCTTCTCCAGCGACATTCACGATCCATATTATCTTATTAGCTTATGAAAACCGGTCTGCAAAAATAAGACCTTTTTTCTTTACTTTTAGATATCAATGAGTGTATCACCAACGTCCATAACTGTGATGCCGATGCTTTCTGTAATAACACTGAGGGATCCTTTGATTGCACATGCAGCCCTGGATACGCTGGAAATGGAACATCATGCACCGGTAAATCATCATGTCCAATATGCCTTAAAACTATATATGAGGTCAGAGACAGAAGCACACTCCCATACATGAAGTCATTCTTTCTCCGTATTATCTTACTGATAGCCTGTTTACATAGTGGGGAGCAAGTTAAATCGTACGCTGTGAGCGCAAAAAGAACCAGGAGAGGAAAAAAACGAGAGGAGACTGGGGCTGATGGAAACAATGCAGCAATAACACCGTTTTTCCCTCTTTTCAGATATCAACGAGTGTAAAGCTAACGTTCATAACTGTGATGCCAATGCCTTCTGTAATAACACTGAGGGATCCTTTAACTGCACATGCAGCCCTGGGTACACTGGAAATGGAACATCATGCGTCGGTAAACACTCACGCCTTATATAACTTTTAAAAATGTAATAATGTTGTTCAAAACAGAAGCACCCTATTCATATAATATTACAAATAATATTACCTTAGTCATAAAAAGCCGGTCCGCAAAAATTAAGAGCTCTGTTTTTTTTTTCCTCTCTCTCCCCTTCCCGATGTTAATGAGGGGGGCGTTGGGGTCGATAAAAAAAAGTGAAAAACCGCTCTAAAAATTACCGAACGGTAAAATTGAAGAACAGTTCCCCAAAAAATCTGTTGGCCGTCTGTCGGTAGACTGTCAACCGACAGTTCACCGACAGCCGACCAACAGTCGGGCGGCCGACAGGAGATTAAATGACAAACTCTGGTTTGTTACAGAAAATTGATACTCAAACTATCTCTTTTACCTTGATCAATAAATATGAACGCTCACGATGAAAATTTTATCATCGACCAATGTAATAGCTCCCCTACAGTTTACAATCGAGTCGGGGAGCTGTTCTTCAATTTTCCGATTAAACAATATCCCATCATTATTCTAGATATTAATATCATCACAGTAGGCAGCACTATCTATGGATTCTATGGTCGTAAAACCGGCATATCTGCCTTAGGATCGTCTAGGAGAATTCACAACGATCCTCGATTGAATAGCAATAAAGGACAATGGGGGAAAGTCTGCGTTCGCAAGAAGCTCTCCTACCGCTGTAAACCTCAAAAAATCCAGAATCTCGCTGTGCAGACTGTAAAATAGAAACATATAAAATAGCCCAACATCTGACTGCACGGAGACCCAAGGGGGAATCTACTCTGCTTTATTTTTGCCAAAAAACTGAAAAACAAGATGCTAAAAAAAGGAAAAACCGGAAACCACAAGGGACAACAAAACCGAAAAACCGAAGTTTTTCAGTGCAAAACTGACCAAAAAACCAACCTAAAAAATAGCCAAACCCGAAAAACCGAAAATCCCAACGCCCTCCTCTTTAATGAGTTTGCAACCAGCGTTCATAACTGTGATGCCAATGCTTTCTGTAATAACACTGACGGGTCTTTTAATTGCGCTTGCTGCCCTGCACACACTGGAAATGCAACGTCATGCATTGGAAAATCATCATGTCATGTGATTTAAAACGTTAAAATGACGTCCGAAACAGAAGCACCCTATACACACAATGCTATTTTTCTCCAAATTAGTTAGGCATAAAAGCCGGTCTGCAAAAATAAGAGATTTTTTTTCTCTCTTTCCAGATGTTAATGAGTGTACGAACAACGTCGATAACTGTGATGCCAATGCTTTCTGTAAGAACACTGGTGGGTCTTATAACTGCACATGTAGCCCTGGATACACTGGAAATGGAACATCATGCACTGGTATAATAATACAGCTATTGTCGGAAAAAGCGCACGTGACAATCTCGAAAGGTATAGTGGGTAGTTTTGAGTTCGCTGTTCTTCAATGAAATTTGAAAGATTGGCACGAGAGGTCATGAACGTATGTTTGCAAGTGCTAAAGGAAAGCAACAAAAGTAGGTTCAACAGCTACAGTGCCAGGAACATTGTATTGATCATATCCCATATTACCTTTCGGGATTGTCGCGTTCACTTTTTTTTCCGACAACCTTTCTCGAAGTAGCTGTATATAGATTTAGCCAGGGTTAAGAGTCAAGCTCTGGTCAATAATACTTATAAACAAAAAAGATTATATCGTGTGTTATGCTATAAAACGGGGACTGCAATGAAAATGGCATCAAGATCAATAGATCTAATAAACAAAAAAAAAAATGGCACGTGCAGCATGCTTTTTTGACTATCTTTGCCGTTGTTTTGCACGACAACACTTAATGTCAGATCCCGAGGGAAACAGTTAGTTTTGTTTTCCCGAGAGCCCTAGCCTGATGTTTCCCGAGACGAAGTCGATGGAAACATCAGGACTCGAGGAGAAACAAAATTAACTGGTTTCCCGAGGGACCTGACATTAGGTCTTTTGTTATATTTCTAGATTTTCACTTCAACGTACTTCAACAGCAAAAAAATAAAAAATAAAAAGAATACGTTTAAGCGGATCCGGAGCGAGTCAAAACAGTCGACTCGGTGCTTATAAGAACACAAATTTAATTCTCAAAACAACTGAATGAATGATTTACAAAGTACTCTCCTTATATTATCTGCAACTTTTTTTTTCTCCACTAGCTGTTGTTTCTCTTCTAGTGGGATTACTTTTAAAATCGTTGCTTTTTAGCTTGACGCTTCATATGTTTGTGTTGCTGTGTNAAAAAATGGCACGTGCAGCATGCTTTTTTGACTATCTTTGCCGTTGTTTTGCACGACAACACTTAATGTCAGATCCCGAGGGAAACAGTTAGTTTTGTTTTCCCGAGAGCCCTAGCCTGATGTTTCCCGAGACGAAGTCGATGGAAACATCAGGACTCGAGGAGAAACAAAATTAACTGGTTTCCCGAGGGACCTGACATTAGGTCTTTTGTTATATTTCTAGATTTTCACTTCAACGTACTTCAACAGCAAAAAAATAAAAAATAAAAAGAATACGTTTAAGCGGATCCGGAGCGAGTCAAAACAGTCGACTCGGTGCTTATAAGAACACAAATTTAATTCTCAAAACAACTGAATGAATGATTTACAAAGTACTCTCCTTATATTATCTGCAACTTTTTTTTTCTCCACTAGCTGCTGTTTCTCTTCTAGTGGGATTACTTTTAAAATCGTTGCTTTTTAGCTTGACGCTTCATATGTTTGTGTTGCTGTGTTCATTCACGAAAAAGAAAACTGGCAGTGTTTTTTCCGCCTTCTGTCACGCCCCTTTCCACCATGCTTTGATCACGTCCTGTAATGTATCCCGAGCGGGGTACATTGCTTAATGTATCACGATCGGGATACATTTGATTTTAGTCAAGGACATGAGACCAAGAATCAGCCAATGACTGTCAACGTGTAGTTAGAATACGCATTATTTTTATGCGGGAATTGTCGTATGTGCTTACCAAAAGATTTTGTTTCCCGTGGTCATGTTCGCCTTTATTTTTTCACTGCCGCTCATTTTCACCTTGTTGGTCGCTCCTTCGTGGCCGCTAGCATTTCTCATTTTCTCACTGCTCCACCGCTATGAAATTATCATGTTTTTATTCCAACGAAATTCGTCTCCTTTGTTTTCAATCACTCGCTCTAGCTCTTTCTGTTTTATCCACGTGAGTGTAAACATCAAAAATAACGTCGAAAAAGACACGACTTTGTTGTTGTTTTTCTCTCTCTAAAAGTCCTGGCGGCTATACTAATTCCCGCCAAAAACACCTCGAGTTGCCTGTGGTGTCGTACTTATTAATTGAGTTATTTTGCATTGGTATGCCTGTGGTGAGGACGGACGGGTCGACGTACGGTCACGTGATTACCAAAATTTCTCGGATGGGTAGATTACCAAATTTTCTTACCCATGGCGCTCCGCTGTGCGCTCTTCACGCTCGTTTAGCTCAGCTAATATCAGTTGAGTACATTTAGAATTGCTTTATGAAGCCCAGGACAGAAGCCCCTATACATGAAGTCTTCTTGTCCCATATCTTATGAAACGAGTGCAAACATAATGGCTTTTTCCTCTCTTTCCAGATATAAACGAGTGTACGTCCAATTTCCATAACTGTGATGCCAATGCTTTCTGTAATAACACTGAGGGGTCTTTTAACTGTACATGCAGCCCTGGATACACTGGAAATGGAACATCATGCCCCGGTAAATCCTGTTCAATACATGTAAAACTATACGACAAAGTCCGAAACAGAAGCACCCCAAACATGCATTGCTTCTCCCTCCACTTTCTCCTCTTATCACCCTATTCATAAAAGCCCTTCTACAAAAATACGAGCTTTTTTTTCTCTCGTTCCAGATATTAATGAGTGCGCAAGCAACGTCCATAACTGTGATGTCAATGCTTTCTGTAATAACACTGAGGGATCTTATAACTGCACATGCAGCCCTGGATACACTGGAAATGGAACATCATGCACCGGTATAGCGCCATTTTCCAGTACATCACCTATAAAAATTGATATGCCAGCCAGAAGCTTTCTTAAAATAGCTGTTGAAACAATAATAAGTTTTTTGTCTCAGTTGTTGGCACATTTGAATAATAAAAACAATGTTTACAAACATGAAATATCGCTTTTTCAAGGTCCGAGACAGAATGAAGCACCTTATAACCCTCGTGGATGTTGCCAACAAAACCATGTTTATTTAAGGTTTAGATAAAGATTTCTCTCTCCATATTATTTTACTCATAGAAGCCGGCCGGTATGAGAAATTTAAGAGCTTTTAAAACTTTCCAGTACGGTTATATATACTTAGCGTAGTCCTGAACAAAAAACAAACCATGTACAACACGATCATGTCAGATTTATGTTCACTTTTTTTCTTAAACAGGAGCTTTTTCTTTTTCGTCCTTCGTCTTTCTTTTTTATTTTCTCACCTTCCAGATATTAACGAGTGTACGACCAACGTCCACAACTGTGATGCCAGTGCGTTCTGTAACAACACTGAGGGATCCTTTAACTGCACATGCAGTCCTGGATACAATATAATAAATGGAACAACCTGCACTGGTAAATCACCATGCTCAGTTCAGTATATTTAATATGATGATATGGGGTCCGAGATAGAAATAACCCATGTTAACTATATTATTATTATTATTTTCTTTTTTCTTATGTAATTTAATAACGCCTTTAGTTAAAGTCTTGTCCTGCCTAGATTAGCCTTGTAGCTATTTGCAGGACATGAAGTATTGTAAACTTTATATTTCTTTAAATAAATACATTGTTGTTGTTATCTTACACCCAGAAACTGGCATTTCAACTTCGATTTAGAAGCGGTACAAAATTCACTCTCCAAAACGTGTCAGAAGCAAAAGATTAACAATTAACAGAAGCCACGCAACAAAGTACAGTAGGAAAATATATCAAATCAAAAGCAAAATCATATTTAAAAAATTTTGCTTGCAACTGGCAATTAATTTTCATTCCAAATAGGCCATTTGCGAGTTGCCCCCCAAACCTCTGTTCCAAAGCGAGGCAAATGTTTTTTTTTTATTTTTTGCTGATAAAACTCTTTGCACCTAGCCTAGATTTTAAAGGAAGAGTTTTTGGAACTCGGAAACGGTCTTAGACTATTGTTCTCATTGCTGAGTGATCGAAGCCGCAAAATTCCACGACAAATAAACAATATAATTCGCACAGCAATAAATAAAAGATATAAATAATACTTGAAAACAGTCCAAATCCAGACTTCGTCTCTGATGTTCAGCGTTCAGCGAGTTCCTTTAGTCCTCTGTAAAAGTAAAAGCTTTTTTTTTCTCTCCTGACAGATATTAATGAATGTACAATCAACATCCATGACTGTGATGCCAATGCTTTCTGTAATAACACTGAGGGATCTTATAACTGCACATGCAGCACTGGATATACTGGAAATGGAACATCGTGCACCGGTAAATCGGCATGTTTTTTACCTTTATACCATAATATGAGGTCAGAGACAGAAACAACCCAATTGAATTTTAAAAGTGCTAATCTGTCTCCATATAACGTTATGTAATAAGGTGAAATTTTCGCTCGCTGTGATTGGTTCTTAGCTATGATCTATTAGAGGACAGATGATTAGATTGCGTCTCATCCTCGGAGACCCAGGGGCAGTTAGTCGTTATCGACCCGACTAACTGTCCCTGGGTCTCCGAGGATGATTGCGTCTTCACTGGCAACTATTTTTGTCCTCTTTTTTTTAAATGGTGGAAAGTTTTGAAAATTTGGAGATTATTTTACCTGACTGGGTAAATGAAAATATAGAACAAAGTCTTGCTGGGGCAGTAGATGAGCACGAAAAGAAAGAAGAAGAAGAAGAGGAAGAAGAAGAAAAAGCGTTTTGCGGAAGAAACCGACCTAGACAAGCTTAGAAAAGTTACTTGACGCGTCATAGTCAATCACTACTATTAAGCGAAACACAAAATGGGTGGTGAAACTATTTCAAGGTAAGACACCATAACTTGGTTTCCAAAATAACAAACACGCTAAGTAAAACTAACATGACAATCGTTTATTTGAGAAAGTTCAAATTTTCTCAATCAAAACATTGTTTACATGGATTGATGTCACGAAAGAAAGGTAACAACACTACTTCTGAAAATGGAAACAGCGAAGCTTGATGAAAACTTGGCTAGGTTTTATGTTGAAACCAGAACAAAAAAAGGGATGAGTACAGCCTGTTCAGCCCTCTTTGGAGTTCGAAACTCAATTGAACGTCACTGACTTAAACAACAATGGCTGCACCGTAAAAATAACAAAGAACAACGCTTTTCAAAAGAGTAACAAAAATTTAGACACCAAACTCAGAATCAACCGTCACACGGGCAAAAAAAATTTTATTCGTGCCTTCTGACATGGAAAAAATGTTGAATCTAGCCGGACTGCTAAGAAGAATCCGGGTTTTACGTTTACCTATACTGGTGCAGGCGTCGGGAACAGAGGGCCAGAGAGACCTTCGCCGCGACAGTTTAGCGCAAGCGTTCAAGAAACATCCTTATGGTCGCGAGTACGCTGTTATGACGCATGAAGAAGCCACCAAAAACCATCCCTGTGGGGCCAAAAGGTCCTTCAAAATTATCATTTAGGCTACATTTACGTATTTTTATTCTAGACCAGTTAGTTTTACTGAAGTTTTCAGTGTTTGACGCAAAATCTCAAATTATGACCTCACAACGGCCTGACGTCGCCAAATACGTAAAATTAAATGAATTTCTTAATTTCAATATCAAACTTGTATCATCTCAAAGCGAATTAGAAAGGGGAGTAAAATGTTGAAAACCGTTTCTCGCTACGTCAAAAAACTCGAGTTACGGAACTTTGAGTGCACCCCCGCGGAATCATACTTTTTCTTTAAAAAAAGATCCTTTTGATTTATTTTTTACCTCTTTTGCAAAATAAGCTGATTTTTTGTTATCATAAACCTTTTAAAATTGCCCAATATCATTTTAGATTTTCGTTTTTTGACTTAAAAAACACTAATCTAAGCAAAACAAAAACTGATCAAGTGACATGTTATGGCGTCACAAAACTGCTTTCTTGGTTTTTGTACAGTTAGGAATTTCCTTTTTAGCAATGGTCACAAGACAATAAAACGCTTAAATTTACGGATGTACGAGACTTATTTGTTTATTTCATTTGGGACTACCGAGTCTTCCTTTTCCTAACAGCCCTCGTTCCCAGGGTCCTCTCCCTTCCTCCTTTCTTTTTTATCTCGTCCGCCATTTCGATGTTTTTCCATGTAATGAGGAGAGTAAAAACTCAATAGAAGGCTAGTTCAACTTGAAATGTTTTCGTACTTTCACTGTACTTGACTGGAAAAGAGACGTGAGTAAAGAATTGTTTCAGTTTATTTTTGGAAACGAGTTATCGATGCCGGTTATCAAGTATTGGTGTTTCAGCTGTGTTTCAATTTTAGCCATTTTTCAATAGCAGAAAAAAACGGACTGGCAAAGCGGTTGCTCCTTTAAATTGGCACCAAAGAAACACGCGGCAGAGACGTGCGCATGCTTTCCTGTTTAATTTATTTTTTTGCGCCATTTTCCATATGTTAAATTTCGCATAGCTATGTCATTCCGCAAGCCCGGCCACATGCCATTCCGCAAACTCATTCCGCCTTTAACCCTCACCGCAGAAAAAAAAACCTTCGAGGGTGAGTGCTGGTGGTAACCGCAGTAAATACACAAGAAACTGACATTTTCAATTTTAAACCGGCACAAAGATTAAGTCGATTTTTTATTTTTTGCACTATTACAAGAGATTTCTACATAGAATACAATACATTACAAAAGCAAGGAGAAAAAAAAATAGAAAAACTTGTAAATTACATGAAAGGCGAAATGTGCGCAGTGACCAAAGTAGCTTACTAAGCTTTCGAGGTTGTCACTTCCACGCGCCATGAAATGCCGTATACATTTACATCAACTACAAGTAACGTACAACGGAGAAAGAAAAATTAAAAGTCCAAATAGTTCTGCTTACGATTCTAATATAAACAGTAGAAAGGCTTACTGGTATTGTGGGTGGAGATAGCTATTCTAATTAATACGCAGGGAATGGTTTTCCAGATTTTAGATCGAACAAAAGCAAATAGATAGATACACATTTTTGTGCTCTGTGAATGTAGAATTGAGGCTGTAGATACAAGTAGCTTATTACCATGCAATGTTTTATCACGCAGACATGGATGAATGTTTAAATGCAAGTCATAATTGCGATGAGAGAGGAAACTGTACAAATACTATTGGGTCATATTTGTGCTCGTGCGAACAAGGCTATGAAGGAGATGGAAGGACTTGCATTGTTTCCGTCCCAGGTAAGCGGGTGTTGGTGAGAAATGCATATTTACATTACGAATTAACTGATGAGGATGTCGCGGGCAAATACAATGATCTTTATCTTATCTCAGGCCCCGGGGGGGGGAGGGGACTCCTATATGAAAAAGACGGGGTTGCTCGTCGGAAATTTTGAATTTAACCCCTAAAGGAGACCCCTTGGGCGTGGCTCAAGCTTTTTGTGACCCCTAAAGAAGACCAGTCTGGACGTGGCTTAAGCAAATTTTGACCCCTAAAAGAGACCGCTTAAAAACACAAATACGACATGCAATGAGTTTTAATGATACAAAGACATAACAAACAAAGTTAAAAAGAAAATTTGACTTCTGTTTCCCTTCGCGTAATTCTGTGTTTCTTCGCGGAACCCTAAACGAGACCTTGACGGCTTAAAATATTGGCGCTTTGCCCGGAACACCCTAAGCGAGACCAAAATCCAAAATTTACACCCCTAAGCGAGACGACGAGTATCCCCGTCTGTTTCATATGGGAGTCCCCCCCCCCGGGTCTCAGGCTATGTTCACATTATACCGGATTGCTTTCGTGCCGACAAAAAAGGTATCCGATGTAGTATGAACACCTATCCGACATGGTACCCTCCACTTTAGAGATCGCGGCACAGCTTCGCTCTGTCACAGAAATCGCGCCGAAATCGCCAATCTTATGTGTGAGCGTAAGCCCTATCTGGTATGGTTTTCGTGCCTATGCAGAAGCTGATCTGTTATAGTGTAAACATAGCTTCAATACTCCTTCCCCACGTACCTGTGGCTTTACTCAAAATGTTTGCTCCTTTTGTTGGCCGCTGATTGGATGTTATTGAAAATTCAGATCTTGAATTGAAGGAAATAGTGTAGAAACTAAGCATTTTTCTTGCCTAGGTCTAGTAACATTTGTTTAAAACAGGTGGAAATTAAATATCTCTCTCATTTTTGATGCGGAATCTTGGCCACTAAGAAAATTCCCTAAATCAGTTGACCTAATGTCATCAGTGCTCTCAAGAACCGACCTGATTCTGACATAATAGAAACTTTTCACTAAATCTGATATGCTGAACAATGTGATCCCATGTGTGATTTTACCGCAAGCTCAGTTAAATTGTTATGGTATTTATTATAATTTTTTCTTTCGATACTGTTTACGTTACTGAAACTAAGGTTCTTTAATTATTAACTAGAATGTAAAAACTACCAGACACTAAAATCATCCACGAGGAAAACCTCATGGGTCACTCCTTCCGGCGATGCGAGCTGTGATAGACCAAAATCTGGGTGGCACCGTTTTCTTGGAAATGCTGGGACGAAAATGCCAACGTCGTGTGTTCCCCCAAGTAGATGCAACACACGTGGCTCAGGTTGGTTGAACGGCACTCATCCTATAGTGGCAGAGGGCCTAGTAAATAGGACAGTTTGTTTTAGCTGGAATCCAAGCTGCTGTAATTGGTCCACCGAGATTCAAGCTCGAAACTGTGGGCCGTTCTTCGTGTACCTGCTGAGTGGAACTCCTGCATGCGATCTCGGGTACTGCGGCACTGACTAGATTCTCAGGAGAAGTCAGCTGGCAGTATGCCGAAAATCACATCTTATTCCAACAAAAATAATAACCGATAATGACAATGATAACGAGAACGAGAACGATAATGATAGGGATAATGATAATGATAATAATAATGATAGCGATAATCAAAATGACAATAACAATAATCATAATAATGATAATTAACAATTATTGGACGAGGATTACTTCGATCAACAATTGTTTTTCAAGGTGTTAGACCTCATCGTTCTCGATCAACATGTTCAAGTTGTATCACAACCTTTTCCTTAGTCGAGTAATTTATATTTTTTGCTTGTTTATCTCCTTTTGCAAATATTTACTGGGGGTTAAAGAAAACACAAAATAAATTATTTTCCTGATACATCTAATGAAACATTCAAGTGAGAAACTGAGAGGACGCTACTTTTAGTTTATTTACTAAAATAAAGTGGATCTCTTTAGGCTAGTTGCGCTGCTATCTCCGATACTGTAATACAGACTGAATTCTCAGGAGGAGAATTAATTTTGCGTAATAACCATAAAAAAGAGGATTCAAATTACAGATCGTCGACGACGGTCTATTCTCATATCGATCAGAGGCAAAATAAATGCCGTGGCTGCAAACCAGATGGGTAATGTAGCTCTAGTTGTAACCAGCAATTAAAACAAGAATTCCCGACGAATCCGATACATCTTCCCGTAAACACTCTAGACTTCAATTCCCATTTGAACCGGAAAAAAATGTTCCCAGCCAGCGCAATTTACTTTAAAGGGGAACAGATTTTTTTTTGGGAGGGGAGGAAGGGGGGAAGGGGGGAGCAGATCCTTTGGGTGCGCCTGTAATTCTCTTAAACGTCCCTCACCGTACAACATTGCCACCGCCGCATCACCTGACGGCTTCTTCAGAAACTAACGCTCCAGCATTCATGATCACTGGCCTGTTTTACTGGCTGTGGCTCAAGCGGCTATAAATTGTCCATCAACAATCAAGCAGAATCTCGCTAACGATTGGAATCCCAAATCCTTTTTGCACACTGACAATTAAGGAATCCTGAATCCAGTTCCTGGAATCCGGAATCCACTGCGTAGAATCCATATTCCAAGAATCCTAGTTCTGGATTTCCTTGCATGGAGTGATCGATCTCTCAGCATAATAAAATTAGTCCCATTTAATTTAGCCCTATTCAGACCGGGATTGTTTTTGTTACGGCTACCAAAATTGCACAGAAAAATCATTATTTCCAACTTCTAGGCATAATGACATGATATACGTTATTATGACGTCATATTGTTGAATCCTTTGGCAGAATCAAAATTCTAAATTATCCAAAAATACTTAAATAGTAAGATGTCTGATTGAATCAACAAGGTGGCTAACACATAGATAATCTTTAACAAAAGCAGTGATAGCATGATGACGTCATTTATTATCAAACAAGAAACTGAAACCATCCGCCAGCGTGAATCCGTTATTTTACATTAGTATTCATTCAAAATATTTCCCCGATTCTGATTGGCTAAAAGCACACGCATAATTCACCATAACCAGGTGCTGATTACCAAATTTGGAAGAATTTTGTATTTAACGAGGAAGTGACGTCAAAAATGCAGCGTTCTTGCAGGTTAATGCACCGTTAACCGAGAAGACCTGGGGACGAGGTTGAGTTGTTTTGGTTGTGGAAACAAAAAATGGTGGACATTTCACTCGTTTCAAGAGTAAGAACTAGGCAAAAAAACATGGCAAGAACAGCAAGAAGACAACTCGAAGGGCGACATCTGCTACTTTGAGAATATTTGCGGAGCTGAACAACGCTAAACGTGTACTATCGAAGGTGAACTTGACATCGATGGAGGTAAGCATGTTTTAGCTTTGTTTTTAAACTTTGAATTATTTTGAATGAATAATAAAACAATTATTGAATTCGGCCTTCGTATCATATGAAGAATTATGGAGATCTAGCTCGGAGGGTGTTATCCGCCTCAGCCTACGGCCTCGACGGATAACACCCTCCTCGATCTCCATCATTCTTCATAAGATACTCAGCCTCATTCATTAATTGTTATTATTATTCATTCAAAATATTTTCCCGATTCTGATTGGCTAAAAGCACACGTTTAATTCACCATAACCAGTTACTGATGACCAAATCTGGAAGAACTTTGTGTTTAACGAGGAAATGACGTCAAAAATGCAGCGTTTTCGCAGGTTAAGGCACGTACCGTTAACCGAGAAGACCTGGGGACGAGGTCGAGTTGTTTTGTTTGTGAACTTGAAAAATGGCGGACATTTCACTCGTTTGAAGAGTAAGAACTAAGCGAAAAAATAGCTAAAAACATGGCAAGAACAGCAAGAAGACAACTCCAAGGGCGACATCTGCTATCTGGAGAATATTTGCGGAGCTGGACAAACCTAAACGTGCACTATCGATCGAAGATGAACTTAACATCGATGGATCGATGGGGGTAAGCGTGTTTTAGCCACGTTTTTAAACTAGGAATTATTTTGAATGAATAATAAAACAATTATTGAATTCGGCTTTCGTATCATATGAAGAATTATGGAGATCTCGGAGGGTGTTGTCCGCCTTGGCCGGATAACACCTTCCGCGATCTCCATAATTCTTTATAAGATACTCAGCCTCATTCATCAATTGTTAGATTATTATACGTTGTACTGACTATCTAGGTTATTACCATTTTGTCCTGTTCCTTGATATGAATTTATGTGACTCATAAATCATAAATCATTTAAAGCGGTAACCATAACAACGCAACATGAACAACGAAAAAGAAAGAAAGAAAGAAAGGATGAGGGTGCTAAATAGGATTCGACCCCCGCACCTTCGGCTTGACGCGACTTCTCCTTGCCACTACACTACTAAGTGGTATTACGTAAGTGTGGTGAAACGTCTTTGGAAATTCCGCCGGCAAACGCCCTTTAAAGCTGATCGAGCCGTATTAAACGCGAAGTTATAGGTATATTTCAGGAAAATAACCGGGATATTGACAGTAAAAAAAACCAATGCAAACGTATTTCCGGACAATGAAAGAACACATGCCCAACAAAGCCGATACAATTCGTCTGCGAAGACTAGGACGCAAAACATGTTTTCTTATACCTCGATTTCCGCTGTTATTTTGAAGCCAATGGTATACTCGTCCATTTTCTATAAAAGGTACTTCAACCTTAGGGCTACTATCAAATTATGGCGCGCAATATAAAAGAATCACCATGCCCTGCTTAAAGAGTTGTTGTTTGTTCGTCCTTTTTTTCTTCTTGGTTTTTCTGCGATTTTCCGAAAGCTTAAAGATTTTGTCCATTGCGCCTTTTCCAAGGCGATTCCACATGGTTTTTGGGGTGCTCTTACTAGAAGTGTAGTAGAGACCGAATTTTCTTTTCTGAGGGCGGGGGGAGGGGGGGGGAAGGGGGGGCGAATC